TTATTTTTTGAGGAACGATCATAGTTTCAAACCAAAAATCAAATATGGTTAGATGCGCAATAAAATTCTCTATCGAACCTGCTATTCAGCTTTTTGATACTTTCAGATTTTTAAATCCGGCAGGGTCTTTTACGATTTTTTTGTATGTTGTTATTAATTATCTATCTAATCCGGCTAAATACAACAAAAAAATCGAACTGGTAGAAAACCGTTGATAAATAATCGATTAAGACGGGAAATTATAAGGAAAGACAGTAACCAAAGTTTATCTTGCAAGAAAATTATCAACGATTTATGCATCAAAGCATCAAGATGGATAGTAAATCATGTTCTTCGAAGCTCGTACACTTTAAAGTTTGCCAAAAAGAAATCATCTCCACCTTTAATCAAAGTTCATAAGGCCATACGATTAAAATGAGAAAAAGACCATATGACTTGGAATCGCTAGTGGGAAAAAGTAGTCTGGTCGGACGAAAAAAGGTTTAATTTGGATGGGCCTGATGGTTTTAACTGCTATTGGCACGATTTGCTTAAAGAAGAATATTTTCGGCTAGGAGAAATATGGGTGGTCGTAGTATGATGATATGGGCGGCCTTTGGTCACAATGGAACAAGCAATATTTGCTTTGTTGACACCAAATTGAATCCAGACGGTTATCGAAATGTGTTAAAAAATCGTTTGCCGAATATTGGCACTACGATTGGCGGAGGTGATTGGCTTTTTCAGCAAGATGAGGCACCAATTCATCGAATAAAGGCTAATTTACCATGGTTTAGAACCAATAAAATTAAATTATTACAGTGGCCTTCACTTTCATCAGACTTAAATTCCACCGAAAACTTGTGGGGAATATTAGCGAAACGCGTTTACGCCGATGGAAGACAATTTTATTCTAAAAAAGAGCCAAAAAAAGCAGTTAAAACTGAACGGTCGAAAATAAGTCGCACCAAAAAAAACAAACTTTGTTTCGAATATACCAAACAGACGTTTCGAAGTTATAAGACTTAATGGCGAGAAAACAAAATATTGATCAATAAAAATCTGATTTAGAAAGCCTCTTAACCTTTCAAATTGAAAAAAATTAAAATAAAGTTATAATTTTGCACCACTTTTCTGATACTTTTCGATAATTTGTTAAAATAAAAGCGCTAGACACGAACTTTTGTGTGTGAATATGTAATAAGTTGTTACTCATAATTATAGAAAGAAAAAGATCCTTCTCCTTTTCTAATACCAAAATGGGTGAGGTTATAATTTTGCACCGCACTGTATATGTTGAAATTGTATATTAAAATTCACTGTAGAAAATGCTTGATTTCTAACGCTGAGTCCGAAAATGAAATTATTTTAGCATTGATCTCCCTAAGGGGAGAGCTCTCACACTGGGTTTTTCCTATCAGTTTGTAGAGGACACTTTGTAGTATATATTTCAATACTTTTTTCGGGTAACGGACCCGTAGTTTTTCAGCGAACAATTTTTTAAGTTTAGTCTCGATTTTTTGCTGGATTTTTAAATGTTTAATAAAATTTTCAGATTTCTATATATAACCTCGGTTTTGATGTCAATCGATAGAGGACATCAGGATGTATCTACAAAAAATTCGGTCAAGCTTTGACTGAGTGGAGCAAGAAGTATTTTTAAAAACACCTTGAACCAAATTTGGCACGAAGGAACCATTTTCTAGGAAAAGTGTGGCTACGAAAGTTGTTCAGAACCAGATTTCCTGGAATATGAACAAAGGGTTTTTCAAAATTCATTAAATTCGATTTTTAAATTGAAAAATACGGTTTTTAAAATTTTAAAATTTAGTAAACTTTAATTTAAAACTCCGGTTTAACGAATTTTGAAAAATCCCTCGTTCGTATTTCAGGGAATCCGATTCTGAACAACTTTCATACCCACACTTTCCCTTGAAAGTTTCCTTTAAGCGAAAGGACGGGGGCGATTATTTGATGAAATCGACCCCTGCTCAAATTCCATCGAAACACGCATGGTTAGATGCAGAATAAACAGGAGAACATTTCTAGCCACTCGACAGACCTTTGAGTTACTCTAAGAAAAAACTAGGTCGAATTTACTGTAACCAAAGTTCTCCTCTTCTTTCTTCAACGGTGACGATCCTGTGCTCCACACTTGACGTCTAACCACGATGATACGTATACCATTCGATAGAGAATTTCTCGCGCTACAATTGCATATGTACAAAGTGGTGAAAAAAGTGTCCTAGGGCACCTTGCCATTAGAAATACTTTATGCAAAGCGGTAGCAAGTGGGTGATTTATTGAGCGGAGACGATCCTGTGCTCCACACTTGACCACTATCCACGATAATACATATACCATTCGATAGAGAATTTCTCTCGCTACAATTGCATATATATAAAGTAGTGAAAAAAGTGTTCTAGGGCACCTTGACATGAGAAGTACTGTCTCGAAAGCCGTGAAAGATCGGTGGCTTATTTCACGGTGACGATCCTGTGCTTCACACTTGTCCACTAACCACGACGATACATATACCATTCAATAGAGAATTTCACGAGCTTCAAGATGAGCGATAAACAAGTCTTTCAGAAATATGCCCACATGAATCATTAGATGAAATACTTGTCCGATATAATGATTTTGACCTATCTTGGTGCTTTCAACACTCCATTAGTCGTTTTTCTGCCATAATGAAAATTATGTATTGTTCCAAAACATACCATTGGATAGCCCTTGAAATTCTCTACAAAGTGAGCCGATCACAATATACAGACCGGTGGGGTCTGTCATTAAAGATATTGAAAAGAAAGTTTTGGGTATTATCTAAGCAGTACCGTGTGTCATAATCACAAGAACTCCCTTGTTTTTGACCTTTTAGTAAAAGCTGGGACCAATCAGAATAGTGTTTTGAAAAGTCCGAAGATTTTCTATCAGATTAGGTGCATGTCGGCCTTTCATGAGAAAAGTTGATAATAGAGCTTCCGGAAAACCTGGCTGCTTAAAAACCAAGTCCTTAGTTTTTAGTGAGAAAATTTTGGCCTAGTGGAAATGGTCGGTGACGTTTCCAACAACACACAAACATAGCCGAGGCTGCTGTTTTAATTCTGCATTAAAACCATGCATGTTTCGATGGAATTTGAGCAGGGGCCGATTTCATCAAATAATCGCCCCCGTCCTTTAGGCATTTTTCCTGTTCTGTTACTTTTTCTCTTTTTTCTCTCCTTTCTTTTCTCCAGTTACCCAGTTTTCTGAGTCAACCTTTCACGACTATTGCCACATGTGGGCGACGAGTGAGAGAAGTTTCTGATGTGAAGTAAAAAGAATAAAAAGCCGCAGGGAATTAAAGCTAATTCTTTTACTATTCATGTCTTATCACCGAAATTTTTCTTGTCACAGGCCACAATCCATAAGTTTTGAACAATAAATCTTTGTTCACTGTAAATCTTTGTTCGCGTAGTGATGTCTTTTCTTTAGTTCATCTAAGCACAAAACAACAATGAATATAATGATATGAATTGTGACGATGTATTAAAGTGGTTATCAACATTTATATCCAATCTAAATGTAGTTCAACAATTCAAAGGTAACTAAGAATGAGTCCTAATTATTATTTTTGTTCACTTTGCCAGAATAGCAAGCCGTGTTTTTCATTTCTGAAACTCTATAAGCATATCCGCTCAGTATATAGGAATGACACATCGTTCAGTGTCCGCTGTGTATCCAATTCTAATATTTTAATATTGTTTCTTTATTCTGCTAAGCTGAAATCGCAGTTATGCACTATTCTCAAATATAATCCATTAGTAGTTAAATGCTCCCAAAGGTTTTAATAGTTTAAAGCTCTAAAATGGGTTTATTTTACACTCTAACCTCGTAGATAAGGACAATTCTCAAATTCTAATATTTTAATATTCTTAAAGTTGTGAACTTTATTTATTCTGCTAAACTAAACCCGTAGATAGGGATTAATCTCTAATGTAATCTTCTAACAGTTTAGAACTCTAAGACCTGTTTAGTCCACAACGCTAAAATTCTAGATATCGCGAGTTCTCAAGTGCTAAACTTTTAATAGTTTAAAGATCTAAAATTCTTTATTCGACACTGGTAAAATCAGAGATATAGACAATTATCAAATTCTAATATCTTAATACTGTAAAATTCTAAAAATTCTTTATTGTGCTGAACTAAAATTGTAGATATCGATTAATCTCAAATCTAAGCTTTTAACAGTTTAAAACTCTAAAAAAATTTGTTTATTGTCACTGCTAAAATCGTAGATTTAGACAAATCTGAAATTCTTATATTTTAATACTTTAAAACTTGAAAGTTTATCTACTCTACAGTGCTAAAATCCTAGATATCGACAATTCTCAAATTCTAAGGTTTTAATACTCTATAATTTATTTATTTTATTAATGTAAAATGCGAGATATGGACTGTTCTCAAATCTAATCTTTTAATAGTTTCAAACTCTAAAATGTTTGTTTGTTGTGTTACTAAAATCCTATAGCTCGGCAAGTCTGAAAGTGTAGGATTTTAATACTGGAATACTCTCAAATTTAATTATTTCTCAATACTCAAATCCTAGATGTGGAGTCATTTGAATTCTAAAGTTCTGATTTTTAACAATGCAATATTTGGAGATGTTTTCGCCATAGAATACTAGGTTCAACTTTTCTGAAATTCTAACATGGTACAAGTCTAGAATTATGGTATTATAGTGTTCAGCATTTCTTGAACCCTTACACTCTTTCTGTTTCGTGTAAGTTTTCGGCGCTGGATGGGAGAGATAGTTGAATTATGGAGTTCATATAAACACGGCATAGTGCCATTTATTGCTTTCTGAAAGAGCTATGCTTTGATGTAATTTTGTTTCATAAGGCCTAGTGGAAATGGTCGGTGACGTTTCCAACAACACACAAACATAGCCGAGGCTGCTGTTTTAATTCGAAACACTGGTACTTGTAAATGGAAAACGCAGTTTATTATCAGTAATACTTTCAAACAAAGAAAAGAGACCATGATACAGTTATAAAGTAACAAAAAACGTAGCGCCAAAATTTTATATTTCGATGTAAAGTCATAATACTGGTTTTTTGCTTCTTACCATGTAATAAACAGTTGATGTATGCCATAAAGACGATATAATAATGGTAAACAATCTTTAATTGCTGATTCAAATATTCTTTCTAATAAATCTGATGAATCTATGTCAGAATTATGATATAAATGAAAAAGATTTAAACCACAAATAATCTGATTAAAATTAATATTGTAATAATATGACAAAAAAAATATTTGTCTCTCAAGCTGAAATAGCTTTTTAATTAAATTTTGCATTTTTATTATTTCTTTTCTTGTCTGTTTATTATTCGTATTATTATTCGATGACATTGGTAATAATGATGCATTAAAATCAATTGGCGATGTTGTACTTTCAAATACAATTACATGTGATGGATTATATTTTTCATTAAAAAAATTATTAATTACATAACGAATTGATGAACATCGTATTGGTGCAGCACGATTGTGCAAAGGTGAAGTTATTGAATTGAATTTATGATGTTGATGTTGTTTAGTGCAAAATGCAAATCCTAACAGATTAAATTCTAACGTTTTTGGTGCTAATGATAGACCTATCATATCATATCCCTTCCATAAAGCAGAATACGTCTTAATTAAATGATATGAAACAAATTTAAAAAACTCTAACATATCGGTTGACGATGATGAATTAAATAAACGCATTTGTGGTATGTTGCATTCATTATCACCGAAATTCATTAGTAAAGCTTTTTTCAAAATTAATTTAATACGTTGAATAGATTCACGTTCATATAATAAATTAACTTTGTGATCAATATGATTAACAGCATTTTCAATATTAGTTAGTTTTTCTATAACAAATTTTTGAAATGGATTTAAATCTGATGATGGTAAGGATCTTATCGTTTCATCCTTATAATCATCATCATCATGTTCATGATCAAAATAACCATCATCATTATGTAATACTATTTCATCTAAATGAAAATCATCTTTAATTTTATCTAAATTTTTAATTATTATATCAAATGTTGGCCTTGCACTTTCATCATCACAGTTTAATATTGTATTGTTCATATTAATTTTTTAATTTTTTAATTTTTGCATAAGTACTTTTTCTTCGTACCAACTTTATTTTTATTATATTCCAAACGTTTCGATTGAGAGTTCAATCTTCATCAGTGGATACAAACATTAATTAAATTAATTAAAATTACATAAACAAAACCAAATTTGAACAGAAAACTTTAACATAGGGATATTCTTCCCGTTTTTTTAATTTTATATAATCTATATACAGACGATAATATAATAACTTAAACTTAAACTGTAGTTTGGCAATGATACTATATTTATATACTATTTTTCTATTCTTTTCTTGCCTAGGCAATTCTTACATTATTATAAAAGTACATAATTTAAAAGGAATGATCTAAGAAAGAAAAGAAACAAACAAAGTAAGGAGAATTTTATACAGGATATATATATGTCAAGACGACCTTTTTTGTTTTTATTTTATTTTTATTTTTATTTTTTCCCCTTATTTTCTTCCCCCCTTTAACCACGTTACAACTAACTTCATATACCATCAAATTAAAAATATAACATTTAATAAAATTTAATAAAACCGTCGGATCAATGAAAAACCTTTTGAAAAGTCAACGTTTAAATTATTTGTACTTTATTCTCTGCTGTTTTCTTAAACCATATCTCGAGTTTTTTGTTCTCATCTCTATTGGTTTCTCTACTTTAGCCTTATTTATAATCGGTTCTTTTACTTCAGTGTTAGTTATGTAAAATTCTTTCCCGCTTCTCGATTCTATCCATCGCTTAATGGTTGATTTCCATTGTGGACTTATGCTCTTACATCTATTATATCCATTGTTAGCTATTGTGTATACTGTTTCTAACTTTTTTCTCCTCTGCCAATGTTTTTCTTTATCAAAAATAACACTATGTTCAAAATTAATTAAGCATTCTGGACTGCTCTCCGAATGTTGGACTAATTCAGAACCTTCTAGATCTCTGTATTTGACTTTACGAATATGCTCAGATATGCGTCGTTCATATGAACATGTTTCTCCAACATAGATATCCCCACATTCGCACGGTATCCCATATATCGCGTCCTCTCCTGATATATTTTCTCTTCTTATATCAGTATTTTTCGCTATGCGTTTTGCTTTATTTAAAATGGAACCTAAACTACGGTTCAAAGTTGTGTATACTTTTATATTAAATTTTGCTAAGATATGCCGGAGCTTTTCAGTTATTACATGTCTATGTGGAATAACTACCACATAGGTTTGTATATTGTCTTCTTTCCCATTTTTATTATTGTTTTCTCTACTTTTTTTATTAATTTTCCGGAAAATTGTTTCCACAACTCTTTGTGGGTAACCACTATTACTTAGGATTTGTTTCAACTCTAACATATCTCTTTCGTTTTCTTTATTGTTATTACATATTCTTATTCTTTTCACCATATTAGTAACTATATTTTGCTTCATAGCATAGCTATGATCTGAATCAAAATTTAATGCTTTTGAACTAGCCGTTGGTTTCCGAAACCAACTGGTCTCTATTGTTCCACTTAT